ATTTATGCTTGAAATGAGGAATTATTTTGGCTTTTTGTTCAACTATTTATTGCTTTTTTTTTTATAAATAAATTAATAAATAAATATTTTTTGGCAAATTGATTTTCTAAAATCTTGTATAACACTCTGCCTAAAATAAGTTAATATTTTTTTTAATAAATTATGGCAAAATTGTATATTTAAATGTTTGACCAGGGGAACCATTGGGCCAAATATCTAGTTTTTTAAAGTATTAAATAAAAAATTATTAAGAGAGATAAATTATTAAATTCGCTAAATTACGACACCCCCCAACTTCTATGTATTTATGTCAACCAAAACCTTTCATTTATTTCTAAAATATCATTATTTAAAAAAATAATAAAATACACCTTTTTCTCTATGTAAAAATTAAATTATAGTTGTTAGTTATGTAAATACATAAAAAATTGATTGGTATGTTATATTTTAGTTGGGCACAATTCCAAGGTGCAATTACACATGCATAGCACCGAAACATTACTAATGTACAAATCTAGCTCTTTGTTCATCCATTCTTCAACTTCTCTCTCAAATATCAAGTCATGATTTTTATTAAATTCTCAATGATTTAATCTTAGTATACGCATAAATATACAAAAATATCACTTGGATTTTAACCCTTGCTTGAAAAGAAAAGAAAAATAAATAAAAAATGAGTTTTTTCTTAACAGGCGCAGAGCATCGTAGCGCCAAGCGCGTATATTTCAACGGCGACGGTGTTGCTGCATTTAGTGCTGAGTTGGCTCGTCATTTACAAGCTCGGTCTCGGTCTTCTAGGCGCATCCCTTGTTCTCAGCCTTTCCTGGTGGATTATAGTGGTGGCGCAGTTCGTCTACATTATAACAAGCAGTAGGTGCCGGCTCACCTGGACCGGCTTCAGTTGGCAGGCCTTTTCCGGTTTGCCGGTCTTTCTGAAGCTGTCAACGGCTTCGGCGGTCATGCTGTGCTTGGAGACGTGGTATTTCCAGGTGCTGGTGCTCATCGCTGGGCTGCTTGAGAACCCGGAGCTTGCGCTCGATTCGCTCTCCGTCTGGTGAGTGGTTTATGGTTGAACCGGAAACGGTTCGGTTCTGTTGGACCGGAGTTTGGTATGAACTGAATTGAGTGACCGGCATGGGAGTGCTTCTTGGGGAATTGAACCAGTGGGAATCATAGCTTTATCTCGATTAAGTAAATGTTAATTAATATATAATTAGGTTTGTTCATAAATCATAAATTACAGTAAATTTTTGTAGTAAGACTCGGATATGGGCCTATACACAGTTTATTTTCTTATCTTCATCGTTAACAACTTAACATTATTTATTTATTTATATATATATATATATTTGCCGCAAATCATGGCCTATTAATTGGCAGGGTTTACTGTAAGTCCCTTCAGGTCATGGGTTCAATCCTAGTGTGACTGGGTTCTCGAATATTTAGGCATATGACTTGACCTCTCATCATGGGGCTTAGCGCATGAGAAATCAATATTTAGGTTTCTGCCAAATACCGATTTTCTTTTAATATATATATATTTGAAGAAAAGCACAAGGGCTGATTTTATTGAAATAGAAAAGATACATAAAGGTTGTATGAGAGGGCCCAATAGAAACACCCTACCCATACGATACTAAGTACAATAATACCCCAACAAAAAAATACCAGTAAACTCAAAAAATTAAAACATGCAGAAAAGAAAGTTAGGGTCAAGCTAGCTTAGTCTTGCCTCTTCCTCTAGTTTTAGTAGTGTAGTCAGATAACAAACTTTGAAGTGTCTTGCCATTGGCAGAAGTAACCAATGTATCGTCTATTAAATTTCCAAGTTGGAGTGTGCGAGAGGTGTAAACCTGTCATTCTTCATCAGAATACTAGCTCGTGTGATCCTCGGTCTGATTTAGAACCGCAGTAGAAGGAAAGACAGTCGTTGCCACAGCTTTAGGTTCTAGTGTATGTGAAGTGTGAATTGTCACCTCTAGACCTGATGCTTTCTGAATAGGGACATTATCTGTTGTAGTATGGTCAGGAGAAGGGTTCCTAGGAGCAGACACCAACTCCTGTCTTGTGGTGATTCTCTCCTCAGGTTTGTTGTCATCCGGTTTGTTAGGAGCGTGTTCAATCACGTGGGGTGCACTAACATGTTCTTGCTTTTGACTATTGGTTCTCAACTGTGGGTGCAATCTAAAACATTTCTCCTGTGGATGTCCAAACATCTTGCATTGTTTGCAGTAAGGTTTTTGTTCCATAATATTTTTTTGCCAATAACCATTGTGAGCAGAGCCAAACCAGACTTCTTCTACATATGGTAGTGTAATATCTCTTTCAATCAAAATCGTTGAGAAATGAACTGTGGGTAAGTCTAACTATAAATGTTTTCTAAGGATAGTCCCAATTGCATATAAGATAGGTAGGTCAAAAAATTGAAGCTTGAGTTCAGGTAATGAGAACCAGATAGGTGCAATTGAGGGTTTTTGACTGGGATCAAAATTAGGGGTTCATTTGAGCAATTTCATATGTTTACCCTTGATTGTGATAAATTTCTTTAAGAAAATTCTTGTGTAGTCTTCCATACTCAGCTGTATCATAACATGTCTTCCATCGAAATATCCCACCTGCCATGCCTCAACTAGTTTGAAATCTTTAAAAATTTTCTTAAGGCAACTTAATTGTAACATTCCAACTAAAGTAAATTTGTATTTTCCTGCACGAGTTGAAATTTCAGCATCAGAGAAGAATATTTCTGGTTTGCCCTTCTTTTTCTCTACTCTCTTGATGAGATTTCAATCTTCATGTCCTGCAACAGAATCATGGTACATTTGCGGGAGTTTCGGACTATTTGCGAGATGGAAATGTGAGCTGCATTTGTAAACCACTGTAACATGAGAGTGTTTGGCGCTGGCGAGGGCGACGGCGTAGGAAAACCCTGAGGCCATTACCGCGGCCAGTGCCAACAAAAACGTTAAGCCTGACTACGTCGCAGACAACGCAGGTGTTGGCGCAGCTGTCGAGCAGAAGCAGAGCCTGTAGACGACGCACCGAGTAGCTATGCTGCCAAACAAAGCAGAAAACGCGAGAAACGCGAGGCACGACGGGTGTCGGCGCAGCTGTCGAGCAGAAGCAGAGCCTTAGACGACGCACCGGGTAGCTATGCCGCAAAACGAAGCATACGACACGAGAACGCGAGGCACGTCGGCGACGCAAGTACAAGCTGATGACGAAGACGACGCGGGTATTTTTCAAACCGAAAATGAAGGCGGTATTTCCCAAACCGAAGAAGGCGACGCGAGACGCTAGGGTTCACCATGAGGCGCAACCCTAGCAAAGAGGAATGACATATTTCTATATATATATAT